GATGGCCCCATGGTTAAGAGCACTGGGTCTTGCTGAAGAGGACCTGGGTTCAGTTCCTAGCATCCACAAGGCTCTAACAATCATCCATAACTCCAGTTCCAGGAGATCTGATGCCCTCTTCTGACCTCTGGGGATGCATACACGCCGTGCATCTACATATATACAGGCAAAATACACATAGAATAAATTTTTTTTTAATCTTAAAACCAGGCTGGAAGTATAGCTCAGTGGTAGAACATGTACTCAATACAAAAGAGTGGATTCAGTCTCTATCATCAATCAGCCGATTACGTACACCAGGCATGGTGGCATTCATTGTAATCTCAGCTACTCAGGAAGCTGAGGCAGGAGAATCACAAATTTGAGACAAGTTCCAGCAATTTAGTTAGACTGTTTCTTTTTCTTCTGTTTCAATTGTTTTGGATTTTTGAGACAAGGTCTTACTCTAGCCCAGACTAAAAGTTAACTGTGTAATCTAAGCTGACCTTGAACTAACAGTGATCCTCCTGTTTCAGTCTTCTGAGAACTGGGATTATAGGCATAATCCACCACATCCAGCTAAGACCCTGGTTCTAAATAATTAAAAAAATTAAAACAAGTTTAACAATATACACAAAACAATCTAACCTTGCCTGGATAGCGGAAGAAAATTTTGCTACAAAACTTGACCATAGAAGACACTGAGTAGGCAAAATGGGGTACATAGTGGGGTAGGGGTGTACTCTCTTTGTTGAAGGTCCTACTGTCTAAAAGGCCTGGATGCAATTTGGAAGCTGGGATCTCAGTTCATAATTTGGCCAACATGGGTTTTATTGGGTGCTCTATGTGAGCCAGGGCTAGGGAAGGGCAAGGGTCAGCCCCAGGAGGCAGCCTAAACTCTGCTCACCACACAGTCAGCGTTCTGGGTCAGCCTCTTTAGTGTGAGGAGTGAGTTGTAGGGCTGGACCACCACATCACTCATCTCGTCCTGGTTGGGAAACACTGAGTATGTCTGTACCAATTTCTTAGGGTACCTAAGGGCAAGGAAGAGGGAAAAGGAGACAGTGGCACAGGGAATTGGAGGACACCCCCCTCACACACACACCAATCTCCTCTCTAGGGATAATGGGGACCATTCCTTTCCACCAAGGAAGAGGGAAAAGGAGACAGTGGCACAGGGAATTGGAGGACACCCCCCACACACACACACCAATCTCCTCTCTAGGGATAATGGGGACCATTCCTTTCCATGTGTCAGAGCTGAATCTTTAGCATCCAAAAGGATAAACCACAAGCACCAAACTCTACAGGTCCCCTTCCTTTGTTAGGTAGCCTCTGTCTCCCTGTACGGTTATTGCTTCCAAGGAGAACCCTGGTTCTGTCCCTGTGACTCAAGGAAAGTAGAAACAACCTTCCAGCTCAAGGGGGGTTGGGGGAGGGGCAACACAGAAAGATATTACCCAGGTATTCTAGTTTCCTTTCTCTTGCTATGACAAATACCCTGACAAAAAGCAACTTAGGGAAGAAAGGGTTTATTTGGCTTGCAATTAATTCCAGGTTACCATCCATTATTGTGAGGAAGTCAAGGCAGGTACCTAAAGCATCATACTTAGTCAAGATCAAGAGAGAAGAAATGCATGGATCCTTGCTTGCTCGCTCTGAGCTAGCTTTCTCCTCTTGCACACTGTTCAGGACCCCCATGCCTAGGGAATGGTGCTGCCCACAATGGGCTGGGTCTTCTTACATCAAATAATAATTAAGACAATCCCCCAAGGACATGCCCTCAGGTCACCTTGATCTAGGTAATTACTCATTAAAACTCTCTTCCCATGGGCTGGTGAGATGGCTCAGTGGGTAAAGGTGCCTGCCACCAATCCTAATGACCTGAGTTCAATCCCTGGGACCCACATTGGGGAAAGAGAGAGCCAACTTCTGCAAGTTGTCCTCTGTCCTCCACACCTGCACAGTGACATAAGTGCCCACCCCAAACAATGTAGAGTTAAAGATTCTAGATTGTAGCCGGGTGTGGCGCACGCCTTTAGTCCCAGCACTCAGGAGGCAGAGGCAGGCGGATAACTGTGAGTTCAAGACCAGCCTCGTCTACATAGTGAGTTCAGGTCAGCTGGGACTACAGGGAGACCCTGTCTCAAAAAGACCAAAAAAAAAAAAAAAAAGATTCTAGATTGTAGGCGGGGCATAGTGGCATACACTTTTAATCCCAGCACTTGGGAGACAGAAGCAGGTGGATCTCTGTGAGTTCAAGGTCTACATAGTGAGCTTACAAGGAGACCCAATCTCAAGATTCTAGATTGCGTCAAGTTGACAGTTAAAACTAATCAGCACACCAGGAAACTGGACCTAAAGCCCTCTCTTCAAACACAGGCTTACCTACCTATCATTCAGTCTTTCCAAGAGGTAGGAGCCCAGACCAGAACCTGTCCCTCCAGCAATGGAGTGACACAACACGAATCCCTGAATGGGGAGAGATGGAGGGATGTTCAGGGATTGGGAGAGAAACTTGAGGCTTGTCTCATTCCCCACTCATCCAGGACCAAACAGAAGCTGAGCAACTCAAGTCTTAAGAAGCTGGTGGTGCTGAGATTCTGATTTCCCTGAGAACAAGGCAGGACTTTATTTCCCCAGGACTCTATATCTGATGCCCCCAAATGGATGTTGTTCTGGTCACCACCTGATCTTTCCCCCTGTTTGCTTCAATGCAGAAAAACCTCACCTCCAGACTGTCACTTCCATCTGCCTCTCGGTCTATGATGTCAAAGATGTCCTCATGGATTTTCTCACCCTGTAGAGGCATGAGAAGGGAACGTCAGGCCAAAGGTTCCCGTCTCAGATCCAAGAACTTTGCCCTTGACCACTGTCGTCACCCTGAAGCAGAGCTCCAGAATCCTTCTCAACCCAGAAGTGCTGCTACTTTGTGAATGATTTCCCCGAAATCTGCATAAACCTCTTCCTAGCTGTCCCTCTGCCATGGTATCCATTTGTCTCTTATTTATTGCCAATCTAGTCTAGTCAAATTCCCAGATTTGTTTCAGCCTTGCTTTGCCCCAGGCTGGGACTATCAAGAACTCTGAGATGGGCACCTGTGAGAATCCCCTGCCCCAGTTGTTGCCAGCTCCTCCTCCATGCTCAGACAGGTAGATGTTCTCTGGATTGTAGAGTTTGGCATATGGAGAGTTGAGGATGGAGTGGATCACCCGGGGTTCCAGGTCCAGCAGCACAGCCCGGGGGATGTAATGCTCATCATCTGCCTATCACAGGGAAGTCAGGAATAGGCTCAGTGAGCTAGGATGGGTCAAGCCCTAAATCCTCCCAATTCTGGCTCCTGCAGGCCCTCCCTCCCTAAGACAGTCACTCTGGTCCCATCTGCCCAGTAGGTTTCCCAGTATCAGGCCCTTCCCTTCAGGCCCCCTGGGCCCTGCTCAAGTCACTGGGGGCACCTGGTAGAAAAAGACGTCCTTGCGGTCAGTGCCCTCGGTGGCGAACTCCTCCACGATGCCCTCGGGGCTGATGCCATGCTCGGCGCACAGCTGTTTCCAGAACTCGAACCCAACTGGGGGAGGGGGGAGATGCCCAGGTCTACTAGAGCCCTAAGGCCTAAGGAGCCCAGGGTTAGACTCAGAGGCATTCAAGAGGGTGGACCCAAGACACCTGGGAGTTCTCACAGCCCAGGGCTGCAGAGTCAGCTCTTGCTTGGTTCGTCACGCGCAAGAGGGCAGGGAAGGTGACTGACGGGCAGGAAAATGGGACTGGTGGGTGCCAGGCATTTGAGTGCGGCCTGTGGGGTAGAACCAGAGGCTGGAGGGGCCCGGCAGTTGCTTGCTCACTCTGGTTGCCGCACTGGCCCAGCTGCAGGGTGATGATCTCCCGGGGCATTGCGGTTCAGACGTGAGTTCGCCCGCCTAGTCCTAGCGGGAGTCTCCGCTGAGACGAGCGCCTGGCACCCGGGTGCGCAGGACGCGGGGAGCGCGCGGCTTCTCGGTGTTTTGACGCGAGCGCTCGGTCTGCGCCTGTGCAGTGTGGGCCTCCCGGCTGCGGCCGGGCAGCGAAGCCCATCCTGGGCATCGTTTTCTCTCATAGCAATCGCAGCTGGAATTCAGCACAGGCGCAGAGCGAGGCCACGCCCCCTCCTGCCACTGTTGTGCGCCTGCGCAGAGAGACATTGGAGGAGTGCTGGTGGGTTCCCAGGTAGGTCGGGGGCGGGGGAGGGAGAAATGGCCAGGTCGATGCTCCAAGTATATAGTCACCCGTGCAAGTAGGTGAGCAACTATGCCCTCTCTGTCAGGTCGAGGGGCTAGATTTAAGCCAATTTTATTTTCTTCAGTGTTAAGAAATCAAACCCAGGTCCTAGAGAATGCTGCGCAAGCGCGAGCTTTACTACTTAGCTACACCCCCCAGTCCAAGCCAAATTTCATTTTTGGATTTCTGTTTTATTTTTATTTTGTTATAGTATATACACTATAAAATTTACCATTTGGGGCTGGGGAGATGGCTCATCAGGTAAAGGCACTTGTTGCCAAGTTCCATACCCAGAATCCTAATGGTGGAAGGAGAAAAATCAACTCCCAGCAGGTTGTCCTCTGACCTCCAACCCGTGGGCCTTGGCACCTGCACTCATCCACTCACCTCCCCCAAATAAATAAACATAATTTTAAAGTAAAATCAAATTTACCATTTTAACCATTTGTAAGTATACTGTTCTATGGTATGAGGTGCATTCACCCTGTTCTCTAATGATCATCATGCTTTCATCACTTTTTGTTTTGATTTTATTGATTGATTGATTGATTGATTGATTGATTGATTGATTGATTGAGACAGGATCTCAGGTAACCCAGGCTGGCCTCAACCTCCTCTGTAGCCCAGGATGACATTGAAGTCTTGATCCTCCTGCCTTCATTTCCCAAGTGCTGGCGTACAGGCCTGTGCCACCACAGCTGCTTTTCCAGAACGTTTTTATCTTCCTGAACTGAAACTCTATACTCCCCAACTTTGCATTCCCTCCTCTCCCCAGCCCCTGACAGTCACCCCTCTTTCTGACATATGAATTTGACTTCTCTGTGTACCTAAGTGGAGTCTAGTGTTCATCCTTTTGTGTCTATTAGTTTCTTTCAGTTATCTTAATGTCTTTAGAATTCCTCCAGTCTGTACCCATGTCAGGACTCTTCTGACTTTTAAAGCAGAATAATATACCACCATACATAGGTACTACTTTTGAAAATCGATTTCTCTCTCTCTCTCTCTCTCTCTCTCTCTCTCTTTTCCTTTTTTGAGACAGGGTCTCCTTGTAGCCCCAGCTGTCTTAGAACTCACCAAGCTAGCCTCTGCCTCCCAAGTGCTGGGATTAAAGGTGTGCACCACCATGCCCCGCTATCTCCCTTGTCTTTTTGAGACAGGGTCTCCTGTAGCCCCGGCTGGCCTGGAACTCACTATGTAGACCAGGCTGGCCTTGAATTCACAAAGATCTTTCCTTTTTTAGATTTTTATTTTAAACTATGTGTATGTGTACATGTGGAGGCCAGAAAAGGGTGTTTCATCCCTGGAGCTGAAGTTAACAGCTGGTTATGAACCACCTGGTGTGGTTGCTGGGAACCAAACTCAGATTCTCTGCAAGAGCAATACATGCCCTTAACTGCTGAGCAATCTCTCCAGCCCACATTCATTTCTTCTTTGATTTTTTGAGACAGGATCTCCTTGTAGCACCAGCTAGCCTGGAACTCATCATGTAGACCAATCTGGCCTCAATCTCACAGAGATCTGCCTGCCTTTGCCTCCCAAGTGCTGGAATTAAAGGCTTGCACCACCACCCCATGCAATTTTTATTTATTTATTATTATTTTGAGACAAGGTATCACTATGTAAACCAGGCTGGCTTCAAACACACAGAGATCCACCTATCTCTGCCTTCTATGTTCTGGGATTAAAGGCCTGTACCACCATATCTGGTTTCTATTTTATTTTAAATTACAGGAAATTTTAAACATACGAACATGATTTTGTATTTTGGGGGTCTTGAAATCTCATATAAGGCATCAGCCTATACCAGCAGAAAAAAAACCCTACTTTTTTCTTCTTACATTAGAATTACTGAGACTGAAATTCACCCTTGTTTATACATATAGATTTTTTTCTTTTTCCTTCATACACACACACACACACACACACACACATATATAATTTTTATCTTATTGTGTGTGTATTTGTGTATAATGTGTATGTTTCAGTGTGGACAGGCCTGTACATGCCAAGGCACACCTTTGGAGGTCAGAGGCAACTTTTGGGAACCCATTTTCTCCTTTCACCAGGTAGGTTCTGAGGATCAAATTCATGGCTTCAGGCTTGCAGTGGCAAGCACTTTTACCCACTGAGCCATCTTGCTGACCCCTGTTTGTTTTAGTGGTGGTGGTGGTGGTGGTGGTGGTGGTGCATCCAGGGCCTCACATAGGCTAAGGAATACTCTGCCACCAAGCTACACTCCCAGTCCTGTTTCATTCTTTTTAACTGCCTTATAGTATTTCATTGGATGACTAAAACAAGTTCATTTGTAAGCACAAAGAAGAATGTCTAGGGAGATGTGGTGCTTTAGTTTTACCAGACTTCCCACAATTTCTTCTAGAAGGCTCTACCTATTTATACTATTATTAGCTATGGAGCTTTCATTTTCTTAGATCTGCATATACATTTGGGTTACCAGATGTTAACTTTATCCGTGGTTAATTCTGTGGGTGCTGGATGGAATTTATTGGAAAATGTCCAGTTATTGCAGTGAAATCAATCAACTTGCCTCCCTTCCTCTTCCTTTCTCTCCCTCTCTCTTTCTCTCCCTCTCTCTCTCTCTCTCTCTCTTTCTCTTTCCTTTTTCTCTTTAGTTCTTTCTTTTTTAATAAAACTAGTTTTTGCGTGCACTGCACAGGGCAGGCTGCGGGCAATAACAAGAGGACTTACTTACGGTGCCAGTTCTACCTTCATTGCTGACCACTTGGGATTCTTCTTGTCTGAATTGCTGTTTTCTGGATTGTTTCTTTTTCTTTTCTGTCTTTGTTTTGTTTTGTTTGTTTTGAGGCTGGGTCTCACTATGTAGCCCTGGCTGCTCCGGAACTTTATATGAAGACCAGACTGGCCTCAAACTGACAGTCACCTGCCTCTGCCTCCCAAGGACTGGGATTAAAAGACCTATGCCACCAAGCTAGCAATTTATGGCTCAGTGGGTAAAGGGCTTGCTGGTTAAGCCTGGTGACCAGAGTTCCATCATCAGAACTTAAAGTAGGAGAGAAACTATCCCACACACTTGTCCTCTGACCTGCACATACACACAGATATACACACACATACACACACATACACACACACACACACACAAAGTAAGCAAATAAACCCAAAACAATAAAACCCTTTTTTAAAAAAGGAGAACAAAATTGGATGTTTTCCCTAGTGCTAGAGTAACATAGAGCCCAGCACCCACTATCCCTGCACTCCAGCTTCCATTTAAACGTTCTTGTAGACAAGCCTCTTCTTTCCTCTGTATTTGGGGTGTTTTGTCCCAGTGAATGGTCCAGCTATCAGATGCTTTCTTCCAGCTGTTTGGTGATAGTCTCTCTGTTCCCTGTAGGTCTTCAATTCATCTGGAATTTATTTGGAGGCCTGCTGAGAGATAGGGATCTACTTTATTCTTTCCATATGGATAGCCAATTGTCTCTGAACCAATTATTGAAGAGTAGGGCAGCCTTCTCCACCCGCTAGAACATTCCAGGCCCCTCCCCCTCGCCGTTAGCTGGCTGAGCTGTTGCTGTGGGCCAGCTTCTGGCCTCTTTTGGGCTGCCTGGCTCTGGCTGCCCGGGTCTGTGAGGCCTTTCTCTAGGAGCCACTGAAAATTGCTGGCAAAAGCGTGCCTGCCAAGTCATGCTCAGACGAGGTTTTTGTTTTCTTTTCTTGTCTTTCTCTTTTTTTAAAGAGAACTCTGGCTGCCGTCCAGCCTTTCTGCCTAGAATTGTCTGGGCTTCTGTAGAAGGCTCTGGATCACCCCCAAGGCCCTCCCTGCCCCTGCTGTTTGCCTTCATTCACCCCACCAGACCTCCCTGGCTCTCACTCTTTAGCAAGAGACTCCATAAGGTGCCATGAGGGAGTGTCAGGCTGCTTGCTCCCTTTGAAGTTTAAGCGTGGGGTTGGGGCGCCTTGGTTAGCTTGGAGGAACTGTGCCTCCAGGGCCTGTGCCCAGGTGCCTGGAAATGGGAGTGAACTTGCCTCCCAACTCTGTGAGCCTGGTGGGGCTCAGTTTACTGATGCCTTGAAAATAAGCCTTAAGCAATTTAGGAAAGGCTTGGGAAACAGGAGAGTTAAATTTCACCTTTTTGTGATTAACAGTGCCTTACTCCAACTTGTAGTCTGCCAGAAGTGGGGAAACTTTCTCCAAATCCCAGTTTATAGGCGCACAGGTTAGAACCTGTGGATTTTCCCCTGGGGCTGACACTGAGAAACTTGTGTGTTGGCACAGCTGAGGGTAAATCTCCTGTCCTTAGCGGGTTATGACTCCTTCTGCAGAGAACTGACCATCTGGATTAAATACAATGGTAGATGGGTACTTAGCAGAGTAAACCTTCCACAAACTTTAGCTGCTGTTATCATCCCCTAGATGCAGTGGGAACTTAGCTGCTGTTACCCCCTAGATGCAATGGGAACTGAAGCTTAGCTTGGCTGTTGCTATAGATGATAGATTTTTTTTTTTTTTTTTTTTGTCTTTTTGAGACAGGGTCTCCCTGTAGCCACAGCTGTCCTGGAACTCACTATGTAGACCAGGATGGCCTTGAACTCACAGAGATCTGCCTGCCTCTACCTCCCAAGTGCTGGATTAAAGGCGTGCGCCACTACACCTGGTGATAGATCTTATTTAGGAGACAAGCAAAATGAGTTAAGTAACTTTTGAAAACCCTCTGGGCGTGGTGGCACATGCTCTTTATCTCAGCACTCTGGAGGCAGAGGCAGAGGGATATCTGTGAGATTGAGGTCAGCTTGGTCTACATAGCAAGACTTAGTCTCAAAAAACAAAAAACAATGGGGCTGGAGAGAGGCTCAGTGGTTGAGAGCACTGACTGCTCTTACAGAGGACCAGGTTC